CATTAATGTTGATATTGAATTTTAAATTAATAATCAAATAGTTGATGATAATTACCATTATTGTTACTAATAATTGTGACTTTGTTGGAATTTACAGGTTGAGGAAGATTTGCAAAATTTAATATTCTGTTAGTATAAACAACATTCGGATGTACAGTTGCTGTAATTGTTGAAGGATCAAATTCAACCTTATCCATTTCATTAAATTCTTTTTGAATTAATTCAAATTTTTCTTTATCATCACCTGCATCATAATAAAATGTATTCCACCAAAGATGAATAATAGTTAACACTTCTTTAGCCGTTGGACGCTTATCTGGATCAGCATCCATGCATTTATAGGCTAACTCGATATAAAACTTTGGGGTATTAATTGAGAAGCCAGGTCTTGCCCCTTCACATATTTTGAATGAAAGATCCCTATCATGTGGAACATTAAGAAAAGGTTGTTGGCCCGTGGAGATTACTGACATCAACACTCCAAAGCTGTATATATCTGATTTCAATGTATAAGGTTTACCATTCAACACTTCTGGTGCTACATATGGTAATATTCCAAATATATTGTTTTTATCTGATGTTAAAGTTTGATCAGCTGGAATTGATAATCCTAAATCTGCAATACATGAATAATCACTTTGAAGAATATTTCCACTATGAAGATCACGATGAATGACATTTTGCTCATGAATCTCTTTTAAACCATTAATAATATCATAAAGAATGTTAATTTTTCCCAACCATTTTAAAGTTTTAAAATTTTTTGTTAAATAATTTTGGAGATTTCCTTCTTCCATATATTACATTACAAATATATAATTATTTGTGGTTGGAGCTTGTGTTATTCCATAAATTTTAATGATTTGATCAATTTGATGAAATTTTGACATAATTTTCAAACTATCAAAAAAAAAATATTTAATTTAACAATCACGTACAATCAATTTTCAATAAAAAAATGAATGTAGCGAAAACAAAACTGGCATTTTGCAAATGAATACGATTCAAGAACAGGAAGGACACCAACAAAATATACACATCCATATTATTGTGAAAATTGTTTACGTCCATTAAAATTTCAACAAACAAATCAATTATTATATAAAATATCATGTAGAAGTTGTAAAGATAATTTATCAGAAAAACTTTATTTTAAATATATATAATAATAATCATCATCATCACTTTCGTCTTCATCATTACTATTTTCCTCCTCACTATTATTATAACTTTCTTCATTATCTTCACTACTACTTTCCTCGCTATCATCATTACTTTCTTCATTATCTTCACTACTACTTTCCTCCTCGCTATCATCATTACTTTCTTCTTCATAATTATCATCATTACTATTATTATCACCTTCTTCTTCATTTTTAATATTTAAAATTTTAATTAAACCATTTAAATTATTTAAATTCTTATCACCATTATCTATATAATTTATAAATGTTAATATATTTATTTAATTTCAAACAATAAAAACAAAATGATAAATGATAAATACGAGAGATTATCGTAGTTAATATTTTTGTAAAATTTTTTGTCGTGGTAATATTTGTATTCATAAAAGAAATTTTATTTGCATAATCGGGTTGATAACAATATTTACTAACATTAAAACAAATAGATATTTTAAATATATTTTATTAAATAAATATTAATATTTATTGATATTAACATAAAAAAATTAATACTCAATAGTATATTGATCTTTGCCACCACAAATAATCAAACTAGCAAGTTCTTCTCTATTTGATTTAATTAAATTAAAAATTTCTTCATCTTCAGAACTTAACCATACTCTTGACCAAAATTCGTAATAAATTCTTTCATCCAATTCTTCATTAGGTAAACCAAATCCCAAAACACATAGTCCATGGAAACCAGTTTTTTTGTCTTTAGTGAATCCAATAAATTTATTTTCGATATGTTGTCTTTTTGCCTTTTTTGAATGTTCTAATTGATTGTTAAGATTTTCAAGTTCCCAAGGTCCAACTCCATATATTTCTCTAAATTTATATCTTTCTTTCCAACTATCAATTACACTCTCATGTTGACTCAATTCCATGGCATATGCCGTTTTATCAACAATATATGTGGAATTTAATAATACCGTTATTTAGATATTCTTGTAATCGTTGTTTATTTTCATAATCAGATTTAAATTTAATAACATATGACGAAGTCATCTAATAAATTTTATTAAAAAAATAAAGAAAAAATTTCATTAACATTATTTTTAATTAAATCAATATTATTTTGAAAATTTTGAAAAACAATTTCTAATTCAACATATTGATTTTCATTATTATCTATTTCTATAAAATATAACTAGAATGATTTTATAATTAAAAATGATTTATTATTTATGATTTATTTAGATTAAATCTCACAAATGTTTT